TCTTCTTGCACTCTTGGCGGCACTTTTTAGGCTTGCACCTGTCGCTGACGATAGCTATACGCGTTAACCGATCGGCCATCTCTTGCTGAACTTGTCGCGCTGCAAGAAAGCAGAAAATTGGCGGCGATGAACGAAATGATAAGAATGCAAGACGAGTTGGAAAAGATGGCGTGAGACAGCAGGTGTACCAAGCTTCAGAGATTATGATCAGGGGAGAGATGCAGGGTGGGAAGGGGCGCGTGGTGGGAACAATCTTCACGCAGGCTTCAGAAAAGCACGCAGCTAGGGTTCCTTCTGTCGGGTCTACTTGAGTCCGACTTGATTAGAATCGAATCGAACTTGTCACTGATCGAAAGCAACGGGGCCACTCGAAACAATTTTTAGATGTTTTTTGCCAATCGGATCCTTCACTTGTGTATTTTTTATTTTGGCCGACCTTCACTTTTGTACTAGCACTACCAGAAATTAAAATCAGAATAAGGGTCAAATTTAAACAGTTAAACCTGGTCATATTTAAATAAAAATTTAAATTTTAAAAATTAAATTTTTTAAAATAATTGAATTTGAAAGCCTAGTCTTGATTAGCTCATAAAAAAAACTCAAGTTTGAACAACTTTTCAAACCCTATTATATTATTATTATTTTTATTTTTTTGTATGGAACAAGCCTTCAAAGCCAAGAAGGACTTGATCATCTGAGACCCAATCCTACACAAGTTATATTGTTATTAATTTTAATTTATTTAAAATTAATTTAATATAATTTAATAAATATTAGTGTACAGTATAAAATTTCTAATATTTTTTATTTTTTTATAATTATTATGTTTACATATTTATAAAATAACTTTTTTTAATCAAGATTTAAATTATCTTACTAGATTTTTAAATGTGTGTTCTTTAATTTCTAAAAAATTATGAGAATTTTTTTAATTTTAAAATATTTTAATTAATTTATAGTGCTTAATTTTATTTTAATTTTTTCAAAACAAAGCTTATAAACCTGATCCTAAATTTTTTAAATAAAGACCGAACTTTAAAAAATATGCAAAATAAAAAATCAAACTTAAGAACTCACACCGTTAAAAGTTAGGCCCACCTGTTTTCACATGAAATATTTGCTTGATGGCCATTGGCTAAGGAAACAAAAGAGGGAGGATCACAATGAAATTTTAACAGAGATGATTATTAATTCTAGCCAAGTTCTTGAATTTTTTTTTTTAAAAGAGTTACAAATATTAATTCATGCGCTTATAAATAAAAATAAAAATTATAATTATAAATTAAGAATTACATTTACAATTTAAATATCTTATTTATAATTAAATATTTTAAATTTATAATATTTAAATCATCATTTATAATTTAATTTTTTTAAGAAAAAATCAAATCCTATCATTCGCGAATCGAATCTCAACGAATTTCATATATATTCTTTTAAAGTATTTTCTCACGTTGCCTAAATTTTGCAAGCGTCCAATTTGAGCAGCTAACTTTAAATTATTTATCTATATCTATATACAAGTCTATTACAGATTACGTTATTTATATTTTGTAGATGAAGATGATGGATGATAATTAATACAATTACGTCATGTGAGGCACAGAATATATTATCTATTTTCCACACGCCATTAAAATTTTTCAATCGATTTTTTAAACAATAAAAAAGAACTTCAAAATATTTATCACGATCCCTGACATTCCGACGTCGGAGGACATGTGAATCTTCATCAATTATTATTGATAATGCATTTTTTTTTTCGTCCCAACTTTTTTTTTTAAATAAAATGCTTAGATCTTGATTTGAATTCGAAATTGTTTGAATCTGACAAGGGAAAAATGAAAGGACCTTCCGGACAATCGTTTGTAGATGACGTATTAGCAATTATATTTTGGAATTGGGTGCTTCTTGGGAACTAAATTAGCCTAAGTAGAGTTTGAATTAATGGATTTAGATTTTAAAATTTATAATTTTATATGCAAAATACAAATATTTAAAATTATAATTTTAAATTCAAATACAATGAAAAGAAGAAGATGGAAAATGAAAAAAAGGAAGGGAATAAAAGGATAAAAATGACTAACATTTCAAATAATTAGATTGTATGGGAAATTTGAATATATAAATAAATTATAATAAAATATAAATATCCAAATCTAAATCTATAAATTTTTATAGATCTAGATGAGAGACAACATTAGTGTTATGTTTATATACAGAGAGAGGGGGGGTTTGATTTGGGCCAAATATTATATTTTTGGATTTGGACAAAATCTAAATCCAAATCCTAATCTTATCTTAATTCATTCATAACTTGAAATCCTTTTTAAATCATTGTTATTTCAAATCCTTATACGTACCCTCCAAACACTATCTAATAATAATTATTTGTTACTTAAACGACACAAAAAAAAAATAATTTTAAATAGATGGATTCAAAATCTAAATTTCTAATCCAATTAATTCCAAACACTGCTTAGGTTAATTGTCCATTTTGTTAAAGCGGATTAGGCATCTTCTTTCAAAGAGAAGATAACAATAACAAATTGTATCCCATTAAGATAAAAAAATTGGCTTTATTCAATTTTAATAATAGAAGAATATTACAAAATTCAAATTCAAATATGTGAATATCTTGTAGCTCAAGCCTAGAGGAACAAGAGCTTCAATCTTTTAGTCGGCCATTTGTTTTAGCTTATTTCATATAAAAAATTACTTTTTTAAAAAAATTATTTTATGAGTTTTTATGATATTTATTTAAACTTTTAAAGATAATCAAAATTCAGAAAAAAATATATTTTTAATTATTTTAAAAAGCTACTTTGAGTAGGTTTTGAAAATAATTAATTCAATATAAGAGAGAGTATTTTAAAGAGACAAAATACATAAAAATATTATAAAATTTTAAAATAACATAACAATAAATTATTTTTGTAAAACAAAAATTAAGGAAGATATCATAAAATTTATAAATAACTAATTAATAATTACTTTTTTATTATTGTAACCGAACATAAAATAACATATACTTTTTTGTAAATCTCTACAAAATAAATCTCTTTTTATAAATTTTTCTAAACTACTTAAAAATAACTTATTTTTTAATATTAATAAATAGGCCCAATATTTCTCTTTCTTTTTACTGGATATTTGCTAGATGACCAGGGATAAAAAATTAGATGACCTGAAGAGAAGCTAAGCATGTAACAGAACGTACTATGCATTTTAAGTAATTCTGTAACAAAATTGAAAAGTTGAGACATAATGCAGACAGTGTTTTCATTTTTTTTCTTTGGCCAACTTACAGTGTTATGAATTACTCTACATCCAGACATGAAATTCAAGATTTTTTTTGAGCAATTAATTCAAGAGTTTACCATGTTCTACTTTCAGGCTTTTGATGAAAGCGTAATTATTATTATTGGTCAATGCATAAGAAATTAAAAACAGAAAATCACATAGACGCCCCAAGTTACAAAAATTATCATGTTCTACTACCACATGGTTTGCTCGTGGTGTCAAGCGCAAGTTTGTTTCGCTTGATGATGGTCTTGATTTTAATGGAGTTTGCCCTAAAAAACACCGTTCAGAACAATGAACCCTTGGGCCTTTGAGTTTGCCTGCAGCCACTTAGAGAGGCCTACAATACAGTGCTGCCTTTGTTTGTTCTTCTTTTCCGTTCCAAGATTTTTTTGATGCTAGTGGGTTCAAGTATTTGATGCTTTCATGTTGCCTTTGCCTTTTCAAAAGCCATGGTCTTTCAATTCCTACGAGAACATTCTATATGCTTCATGCTCCTTCAACTTCTTTGGAAAATTGAATGACTCGAGGTTTAGAAGTATTTTAATATCACTGGCCGTGGTATTCCACTTGCAGATATATCAGTCAATGAAGGGTCGTCTTCTCAAGCAATTAGTTCTCCTTGGGACATCTAGCTGGCTGATTTTCTTGTTGATGTCTTTTTTCCGGTTTTGTTTCATTGTTAATTATTTATGTTTTTTTCGTCTGGACCAATTTTTGTTCGTAATCTTTCTAGTCTTGAGTGAATAGTTCTACTATTCCGTCTGGGCCTTTTATTGCATTGTTCGTTTTCCTTGTTTAACAATATTTGACTTTATATAAAAAGAAAAAAAATAACCATTTCGTCCTTATAATTTTTATCTAATTATAACTCAATTCCTTAATTTTAACTTATTATAATTCAATCCCTAAAATTTTGACTTGATTGTAAATTAGTCCCTAAACTCTACCTTTTACGATTTAATATTTAATTATTAAAGTTTTAACCTCTTGTATATTAATCCCTATATTTTAAAAAATAAAATTATAAAAATTAAAAATATTTTAAAATTTATTATTAATATTTTAAATTATTAAACCCTTTTAATTTTTATAAATATCATAAATATTAAAAGTTTAAAATGTTTTTGATCCTTATAATTTTATTCTTAAAAATATAAGGATTAATATTTAAGAGATTAAAACTTTAAGGATTAAATTACAAGAGGTAAAACTTAAAAATTGATTTATAATCGAATGAAAATTGCAAGAATTGAATTACAAGGAGAGGGGTCTCTCCATTTTTTTTCCTGCATTTCCCTCCATTTCCCGTTTATTAAATAATTTTTTTAAATGATAAAATTAATGAATGGTGGGGATGGGAGAAATGGAGAGAAATGAAGAGAGAAGAAATGAAGAGATCCCTAATCCTGAGTTATAACGAGTCAACGTTAAGGAACTGAGTTATAATTAATTCAAAACTATAAGGATTAAATGATTAATTTTTTTAAAAAAAAAATTTACTTACTGACAAGTCATATATAGCTTTCTATGAGAGAAAGTGCACGAGAGAATTAATTATAGCAGTGTAAACAGGCTGCCTTAGTTTAGAAATACAATTTTGTTTGGTCCAGGCCACTGCAGCAAGCTGTCCATGAGAGAATGAATTATAGCTTTGAATATTTATGCTATACAAATAGTGAATCAAAAAGAGAGCATAAAAAGAAAAGAATGGTATTAGACAATATGTTTTCGCTGTCAACAGAAAATCAAGACCAGCAAACTTATAATACAATCAGTGCTGCTATTCAGATTCAAAAATCTATGAGCTAACGGCATCAAAGTTAAAACAAACTGTCAACATCGTGGTTTATTTATAAGAACTTGGAAACAAGAGCATGGAGAATCATGAAGGAACACTAGTAAGATCACTTCCACTTCTTGAAATGCTTTCCTCCAAACATTCCGTGTTTAAATTTTCCATGCTTGCCAAACTTGCCATGCTTGAATTTCCCATGGCCCATGTGACCACCGTACCCATAGTGGCCGTGGCCGTGGCCGTGGCTGAGGTGATGAGCGCCGTATGCAGCTCCGGCAAGAGCAGCTCCTCCGGCAAGCAATGCCCCCATCCCAGGCCCTCCATGATGATGACTCTGCCCGTACCCGTGCACTGATGATGGAAACAAATTTAGTCCAACCAGAAAAACAAACATCATACAGACAGCAGAAAACCTCCCTATAACAACGAAATGCAAGCCCCACATATTTACATCATACACATAAACCCAAGCAACTACCAAGCAGATCGACAGTCACAAATCCCAATTTTCACACGAGAATTACTTCATGCTTCCAAAGCTAACAACTAGAAGCACAAAAGATTTTCATCATTACAGCTAATTCTCCAGGGGAAAAAAAACATTCAAACATTCAATCACTTGCAGATAATGAATGAACTATCCACAACACACAAGCACAGATATATGTATATATGTATGCATGTATACCTGGAGCAGAGGGACCAGGATAACCAGCAGGCGGATAGCCAGCAGGAGGATAACCTGCTGGGGGATAGCCACCATGAGGTGGATACCCATGAGGTGGTGGAGGATATGCTCCCGGAGGCGGAGGGTAGGCCCCTGGCGGCGGAGGGTAGGCCCCAGGTGGCGGAGGGTAGGCTCCAGGTGGATAACCATGACCATGAGCCCCATGAACACCATGAGCTAACCCTTGAGCAATGTTCGAAAGAAGTCCTTTGTCACGTTCATCGTCGTTTCCACCTCCCATCTTTGAAGCGTAGAGATGATTCTACAAAATCAGAATTCGTTGACAGAGTAAGATCAGAACTTGGCACAAAAGAAAAGACACGATATGCATGTCAGCATGTATAGGTAGAACCAATAAGAGTAGCTTATAAAAAATTGGGAAAATCACCATGAAGTTCCTCACAACCATTTAAAATACCCAGAGGTCCCGCCAAATCCAAAAATATCCGTTAGGTAGGAAGGACATCTTATAACATGGGCTTGGAATGGTTATGGGGCACTTCATTGATCTTCTCTAAAAAAATTTCATTACCGCCATTTCTTTCTCTTTTCTCGATTGATAAGCAGTTATCAACGAAACAGGCCTGTCATCGAGCTAGCCGCATATGAATTAACGAAAAGTAATGCCACAATGAGCAAGGCCCCTATTGTCATTTACGCGCGACGGTAATTTATCAAATTGATTCACATAAGGAAGGAAATTTTCATATGCGTACTCAGAAAGCTACAATATAAATCCCAGAAAACAGGAACTACTGCAAGCAATTGTACTCTAATTCTCGCTGCGGTTTCAAATAACAACAGCAAATATTATCGTTCACAGATTCCTGCAGATTCGGAACGACTAGCTGCTCTTAAGACATGGATCAATCTTAGGAATTATCATTCACAAATTAAAAGGGATGTAAAAATTGACCAAGAAATAAAAACAAAACCAAGAGGGCAGGTAGATGAACAAACCGATTAGAAAGATCAGAAAGATGCCAAGAAAAATGACGGATTGTGAAGAAGCTGGATAAAGCGAACAAGGAAGATTTTATAGAAAAGACCAATAAAAGGTGACGATTGAGATTTGATGGCTTTAGCGCACTCGAATTTAGAAACGCGTTATTACGCGTTGTTTACGCGTACAAGGCATCCGCTGATGGAACCGGATCCTCTCATTCTCGAAATTCTCAGCGCCCCTGCGGCTAAATCTAAGATGGTCAAAATCTAATCAATATAATTACATATCAGATAGCAATTAAAAATATAATAATTTATTTTTAAATAATAAAAAAATTATTTTAAAATATCGCATGTAGATAAAAATAACTAAGGTTAAAACTAGATTTTTAAATGAATAGATTTAGCCTATTTATATAAATAAACTTAATTATAAATTTAATTATGATCTTTTTGTTAACATATCAAGTTAAAATTTAAACAAAACAGGCTACATGTCTCTACAGGCAAACCTAGACCTCTTTAACAAAAAAGTTAATTATATTAAAATAAGTAATAGACCTGCAGAGACATATGTTTTATTCTATTTAAATTTTGACATAACTGCTTAATAAAAAATCATGTTTAATTTATAATTAAGCTTATTTTTATAAATAAATTAAGCTTGTTTATTTAAAATTTGACTTAAATCAGACTTACTTTTACATGTTTTAAAATATATTTTTACTATTTAAAAATAAATTATTTACATCTATTTTTAATATCGCATTTTGATCAAATTTGACCATTTAACGGACCAGATTTGGTCACTTAGGGACGCTGAGGATGTGGCCAGAGGATCAGGATCCATCCAGTGATTCCTTTGAAGAAGTGACGCATGGTGACGTGGGAGACCCGAGGCTGCACTTAAATTTAGGATTTTAAGTTAAATATCTAAACGGACAAATTTGCTAAAATAATACTCACTTTCATATTTTTTTAAAAAAAATTGATATTTCAAAATAGAAAACAGAACATTAAAATTTTATTAAATAAATTTATTTTAATATTTTTTTATATTTAATTTTTGTCCCTTTTTTTAATATATTAAAAACTAAAATATAGTGACCTGCATTTCATTTTGCTGAAATTATAAAAACCTTCTTTTATTTTTAAAACCTACATTTTAATTCAATATTTAATGTCGTTAGAAATATTTCATTAAAAATTTTAAAATAATTTTTTTCATAATTATTTTAAACATTTTAAAATTATTAATGCATCCTTATGATCTATTGTCTACTCCCTCTCCCAATTTTAAAAAAATATTAAATAATTAACTATGTTAATATCTAAATAAATAATTTAAAGTTTTGTGTTAGAATTAATGAAATTTAAATAAAAATAAACATAAATTATATTAAGTAATTTATTATACTAAATTTCTATTTCATAAATTTTTAACTTATATTTCAATATTATTTTAGCCAATTTATATATTCAATTTTTTATTAAATTACTAAAATAAATACATTTACATAATTATTTTGGGAACAAAGTGAAAAAATATATTTAAAAAATGCGTTATTAATTATTTTGGAAAATTTGAATGATTTTTATATAATATTTATATTTAAATAGGGTTACCAACACATTAACTTAGCGAGTGGGTGGGAATAAAATTTTAAAAAGATAGAGGATGTTTGTGTTCTAGAAATGGAGGTATTTTAATCCAACATATTTAGATAAATTATGTATTAAATAATATTGAAATATTGGTATCTAATTAGTTGATACTCCCCGTGAACACACGAGGTAGTAAATGTTAATTTATACCAAGGGAGGTTTATATATGTCTCAACAATATAAGGAAAGTGCCTGTAATTAAAGTAAAACACATGGAAGGTTGGAGTATTTTACTCAATATTAAATGAATAATATTTTTTAAAGTTTATATTTTTATTTTAAAAATAAAATTTTTAAATATATTTAATAAGTTTTATTGACATGTAAGATCTATATATATAACATAACAAAATCACCACAAGCTGCTGAAAAAATAACTCATGTATAGCTCCTCACTGAAGTCACTGTTCAATTGAACAGCTTCCTGTATTTTTCAGCTTGCACTGGGCTTTGTGTTGTTTAATCTTAATGAGAAAATTTCTTTTATTTCATCTTTTAAATTTTAAAACTCCCTCCTTCTTCTCAAATTATAAAAAAAAAATAATCACCTTGAGCTCCTTGAATATCAATTCATATGATCTCCCCTACTTTGCTCACTGCTCATCTTTTCCCATTCTACAAACCCCCAGCCTTCCATCCTTTGCTCAATATACTCCCTACACAGCCCAAGCTTCTTCATCCTCCTCCTCCTCCTTAGTTTTCAATCCTACTAAGCTCTCACCCTCTTTAGCTTCCAAAATCAATTATAAACCCAAAAAAATAATTTGTAAGATAATTTATATGATTTTCAGATAATTTTTAAAAAATTACAATTGAAAAATTAAATTAAAAAGCAGGAACTTATAGAATAACCGTAATTTTAGTTTCATAATTTATTTTGACATGTGTATATGTATTTTGATATTTTTAAGAAAATTATAGTTTTGGGTTTGATTTTGGCATGTCCAATGGGTGTTTGGACATTTTTAAAAAAATGTGGTTTTAAATTAATAATTGTTTTTAATATGTAAGAAGAATGTTTAAATATATTTTCACAAAATCTTGATTTTACCTTATTTTCAATTCTATAGTTCAATTTTTCTTTTCAATTTTAATTAAAATTAATCTTATTAATCAATTTTATAAATAAATTATATACCACTTAACATATAATCAATTATATTTAGAATCAATCATATTAATTAATTTTTTTAACACATAGGAGTATCTAAACGAACCCTATATTAATTTATGTTTACATTTAAGGATTCAAGTGCCGGCCCCGTGCTCGTTTCTGCAATCAGTTTGAAGAAATTTTAAAAAGTTCTTAACAAGACCAGCTTGCAATTGTTGGAAATTCTTATCGTATTGGTGAATTGTACATCTAGTTTAGCGTGTTAGGTAGCTTCTTTCAAAAAAAAGAAAAGAAAAGAAACATCGTTCAATTGTGTTTAATCTAATGTCTGTGGACTTTGGCCAAAAAAGAAAAAAAAATTTACGTCTGTGGAAGAATACGTCAGATGGGTATGTATATTATTTTCATATTTCAAATAACTGAATATCTTGTCGCACAAGGAAAAGGAGCTTTAATCCTCATCTGTAATCTTTCAATATTTGCTTGGTGCGATGGTGAGGAGTGTGCTGGACATTTTTCTTGTTTATTTTTTTGGCCAATCTTTTCAAGTTTAATTCAGTGAAAAGAAACAAATTATTAAATTATTGCATCATTTTCTGTTGAATAGGTATATTAAAATTAATTTTTTCTTTGATTTCATTTTTATTCATAGTTAAATGATTATTATGATTCATTTTAAAAAAATGATAAAAAAAATCTTACCAAAATATATAAATGATAATAATATCCCTCAAAATGTTATAATTGTAAGGAATTTTTTGTCAACAAATTATAAAGTAGAAGAACCTTTTTGTTTTTGCCCTTAAAAGCAACAAAAGACTTGTTGTATTGTCGGCCTCTTTTTCGGTGACTCTATCATGCACAAGTAGATGACTCAGAGGCTCTCCGTCATCTCCTTCTCCGACTCGCCATTGCCATCTTTCAGCCTCTTATCCAACATATGCACCCCATTGCCCTCCCTCACCATCTTCCTCGCTCATACCATTGTCTCTGTCGTGCCTGCTCTCCCCATCAAGAGCTCCATTAGCACGTTGCTCAAACAGTTAACGTCTATCTCCATTATGCAATTCAAGTTATCTTACTATTTGATTCTTGGGAAACCAAAATCAGTGATTGGCAGCTTGAAGTTGTCAACAAGCAAGATAAAACATAATTTATCTTGCTTCCCCACTAGCTCACCCTCCTCCTCCTCATCATGCTTCCCCCGCCTCCTCCTTCCTTACCTCATCTTCATCTATCGCCACTTTGTTTCTTGTGTTTCTTGGATTTTCCATCGGATATCTTGAGCCATCTGGCCTCAATCCTATCGAAGTCACTTCGCTTAATCATGGGGATGCTTGTTTATTTTTTATTTTTTTTGTTTGGATTAAACTTTAAACACATAGAATGTTTTTCGATATTGTAATTTCTAAATTCATAAAGCTGATCCCTTTTTTCAGCATTATCCAACATATAATATAATGGAATCAATGAATTGTGAATAATGCCATTAATCGAACATCAAATAGGTCACTTTGCTATCATTGTTTCAAAATGAAGGAAAAGAAGGGTTGAGCATATCAAAGGAAGTTGATAACTCTGATCAAAGAACGAGTAACAATGATGGTGGGATCAATATGACTATGTACAAATACAATTTTTTCTCGGACATTTCTCAACTATTAGTCTGTCTAAAGTGTAAAGTTGAAAAATGGGCAGGCAGGCTTAACCCTTAAGGGCTTTTAAGTTCGATTTTCTGAAAATACCTTATTTTCTAAAACCTAGCTCTTATATAAAAGGTTCAAATCAGGCCCGAAAGCCCTTATTATTATGTTTTTATTTTTTAAAATTTTAAAAAAATTAAATTTTTTAATTATAATATTTCATATATTTTTTAAAAATACAAATTATAATATTTAACAATTAAAAATAAATAATATAAATTTTAATTTTAAAGTATAAACATATATTTTAAAATTTAAATTCAATTTAAAAATTAAAAATTTTTAAATTTTTAAGGAAAAAATAAAAACGGGCCTAAAAGGATAGCCCGAGCTCATTTTTTTAGGGCCTATCAAGGACGGGCTTAAAACCCAATTTCCTAAACAAATGTTATTTTTTCAAATTCAAATCTTTATAAAAATGAGTTTAAATGGACGAGCCTTCAAACTTGACCTTTATTTTTGACTCTACTAAAAAGGAAGAAGATGGAGGAGAAAGGCAAG